TCTCTCTCTCTCTCTCTCTCTCTCTCTCTCTCTCTCTCTCTCTCTCTCTCTCTCTCTCTCTCACACACACACACACACACACACACACACATAGGGTTGGTGTGAATAAAGTCCACCACTTTTCTCAGGGGTATCACTCTTCGTCATCCATGAGTCAGTGAAATGCATCCTGGGTAGACTGTCGGATTTCAACCTCCTGATGAATCGGTGAAAGTCCGACGAAACAGTCTGGCACCGTCAGGGTTCAACCTCCTGATGAATCGCTGAAAGTCCGACGTAAGCCTGGGCCAGCAGTCATGCTAATCTTTGTGGAGTTGTGTAAAGCGGAAATGACCCCGCGCGCGTGGGCCCCCCCTCCTCCTTGCCCCCCCAAACACACAAAGGCGCGCGCGCGGACAGACAAACCCCAAACCCGCATACAAACACGAGGAATGTAGTACATGTGTATGTCCACCTCTCTCTCCCCTGCACTGGCGGAAGGGGAGGGCAGAACAAAGGGAGAGCTGGAGGGTTGAAGTTACCTCCCATGGATAGGGAAGAGGAGGAGGGCACCTCCCTTCTATTTCTGCGCTGCTGAGGCACCCAACATAGATATAGGGAAGAGAAAGTGAGGAGCACCGAAAAATAACCTTAGCTTTCTTACCTGCCGACAAACGAAGGAAGGGGTGAAAAAGTAGGCGAGCCGCGGAGTGCATCGTGGAAAAAAGAAAGGGATATACGAAAGGAGGGAGAAGCCGCCACGCCATAGCCATATGTCACACGGAGCCCAGAACACACCCAGGCCGGGATCTCAGATCAGAATCCCAGGTCGGGATCAGAGGTCGGTCGGGATCCCGGGTCGAAACCCGCCACTCAAGTTCTGGCAAGATCTGAGTCTTCAAGAAGTAATATAAGGTCGGAAAAAGCGCGGGATGATCAGACACCCTGAGAGCATGCATACTCACACTAGCCCTATCTTAAACGTATCGGACCGCAATTACGGCCAGACCTGTATGCATCTGACCGCAATTACGTCCTAAAGTAAGTTTAAAAAGTTCCAGTGTGAGTATGCCCTGAGACGTGCAGGAATTCTGCAAGCGACAAAATACAAACGGAAGTGCACATCTGGAAGTGACGGAGTCCAACAAAAAATAAAAAATAAAAGACGGAGCAGCTCTCCTGCACGAAGATTAGAGCATAGGGGTCTTCAAAACGAGAGAGAGAGAGAGAGAGAGAGAGAGAGAGAGAGAGAGAGAGAGAGAGAGAGA